GTCGACCGGAAGGAGGAAATTCCTTCCGGTCATGGGAGCGGGAGCGACGACTCCCAAACCCCCTTTAAGCATGAGGGGCGGTTTGGGGCGCCGACTCCCCAAAAATAAATTAAAAAAAATAAAAAAAAAACATTTGATGGGCGACTCCCAAAAGTCGGCCATCTTTTGGAAGAACGACTCCCAGCCGACGACCCCTCGACCAAAACGGGAGTCGTCGACTAATTTTTGGGAGTCGTTTTTCCAACCCCCTTGATTTAAGGTTGTCTGTGTATGCTTGGCTGATCATGTTCGCATTTTGGTTTTGGAAGATCTGTAGGTGGGTGGTTGTATGTAGATGTTTGAGCCAGTTGGAGCTGTGTGGAGGTGAGTGGATAATTGACTAGGAGTGTTGGGGAGGTGGGTGGAGAAGTCGGAGTCAGAGCTGGTGGGGAGGTGGGTGAGGGAGTTGGGTTGGGGTTGGAGTTGTATTTGGAGTGGTGTGGAGATGCTCCAGTGGAGGACTTCCTGTCGCAATTTAGAGTTATTTTTAGACCTCACTCAGTCCTAAATTAACAACACTATTAAGATTTTACCCAGCTCACATTAGAGCTGTTTCCGGAAGGCTTCAGAAAAAATGTTTTTTTTGATGAAAAAAATAGATCTAAGCAGTGTAAATCAACTTGTGGGAGGCTCATAGATTGGGAAGTCCTCCAGTTGGAGCTGTGTTGAACTTATTTTGCACAAAGGCTTGTCCAAGCCCATATATTTGGGTGCCAATGTAGAACTTGCCAAACAAGATTTTTTCTGGTGATGGCTGGCTAATATCTTTGGGTTCAGTCAAATCACTCCATTGGTTGTAAAGAAATATGATATTGTTTGGTGACAAAAATATAAAGAGGGCTGGTAATTACCTATGGAGGGCTGGTAATTACCTAAGGGCAGGGGTGCCTTTTTGCAGGTTGTGTAGGTTAAGCTGGATTGAGATGGATTGGTTGGCTGAGGTGTATACAAGAGCAGTGTGGAGCTATTTGGAGCTGCTTGGGTTGGCTGAGGTGTGTACAGGAGCTGTGTGGAGCTGTGTGGTGGGAGCTGGGTTGAGCTGGATGGATTGGCTGAGTGGGAGCTGGGTTGAGCTGGATGGGTTGGCTGAGGTGTGTACAGGAGCTGCGTGGAGCTTTGTCTTGGGAGCTGGGGTGAGCTGGATGGATTGGCTGAGTGGGAGCTGGGTTGAGCTGGATGGATTGGCTGAGGTGTGTACAGGAGCTGCGTGGAGCTGTGTCTTGGGAGCTGGGGTGAGCTGGATGGATTGGCTGAGTGGGAGCTGGGTTGAGCTAGATAGGTTGGCTAAGGTGTGTACAGGACCTGTGTAGAGCTGGGTTGAGCTCTATGTGCAGGGGAGCTGGGCTGAGCTGGGTCAGCTCACCACACCAAAACTGCCAAATTATTTTTGGACAGAAACTGTTGGAAAAATGTCTGGAAGGTTAATAATGATAAACTAAAACCCCATGAGGCATCAGGGGGGGGAAGAATTTCGGGCAGCTGAGCTGAGCTCCCCCAGCTCAGCTGTGAATCCGGCTTTAAACCAAAGATGATGACACCTGTATCTTTGGTTTATAGTAGATACATTGGGTAAACAAAACTCAGTAGTTCAAGCCATTGATAAAGAGCTTTTTGGTCAGAAGAAGAAATTCGATGCTATATTAGAACATGAGAATATCAGGCTTCCAACCGAGGAGGATGTTGAAATAGAAATCCACCTGATGACTGTTGGTGGGAAAGGTCAAGGACCGACCGAGCCCTTTGTCTGAATGTGTGGACCGGACCACAAATAGAATAGTCCTTGTCTTGCTTTCCCTTCTCATTTTTTTGCCAAAAAAATCCTCTGGCGCAACTGCCAAATGGGGTCCAAAATTATTTTCTTTTCATTTCTTTCCACTCAATCAAAACCCAAATTGATGTAATCAGTCGTGCAATAAACACAAACTCTGTTTCCAGAGCAAGAAAGTCCAGAATCCAGGCAATTCTTGAATTGATGGAAACCATGATCCAAAAGGATCACCGATAGCAGGGGTGGGCCGCTACGCTACACTACGCTACAGGCCCATGCAGCGTTAGCGTAGCGGCGCCATTTTTTTTTTCATGTAGTGTTAGCGCGCCGCTACTTCCGCTGCGCTACGCTAACTTGTAGCGGCGCTAACACTAGCCAAATTTTGGTGTAGTGTTAGCGCACCGCTGGCGCCGCTACGCTGCGTTACGCTACGCTACAGTGTTTTTAGCGGCAAAAAACGCCCAAAAACCGCTAAAAATGGCTGTAACGCAGCGTAGCGGGCGGTTTTTTGCGCCCTGTGCACGTAGCGTTAGCGCACATGGGGGGAATTGCGTTAACGCTACGCTAAACGTTAGCGCAAATATTTCCCCCATGCACGTAGCGTTAGCGCAGAAATTGAAAAATGCGCTAACGCTACGCTACATTGTAGCGCTTTTCCACTACAATACGCTACGCTAACGCTACAGTTAGCGTAGCTGGCCCACCGTTGCCAATAGCCTCACACAGAGAGATCGTCCGGCCCGCAGAATGCCATACCGGACTGCCCCCGGCGGTCTGGCAGCAATTCTGCAAGTAGATCGTCCGGAATGATCCCTCGGATTTATGTGCTCCTATCCGGACCTGCGCAGAGCAAGCCGAGGAGATCCGATCACAGACAATAAACCTGGTTGTGGTCTAAAAACGCTGTGGTTTATTTGTTGGTTGGCGCCAGTTTGCCAAAAAAATTTCCAGTTTGAATCGTGGATTTGCCACGTTTTTGGCCGGGATGAACCAAGCGGTCAAAGTGGTTAGAGGTTCGACCGCCGTTTGCCCCTGCCTAACTGCTGGGGTCAAAATGGTTAATTTCCCGGTCAAGTGGCGGGTAAATCGCGGTCAAAATTGGGTGGCTGTGTACTTATCTTTTTCTTTTCAGGCTTGTTTTTGTGTTCCGTCTATTTCTCCAAATTGTGTTGTGTCTTTTCAAGAGTACTTACAAAGATCCAACTATAAGAAGGTAAATATCAACTACTTTCACTCATTTATTTAGTTGTCTTTTAAACTTTTCTTATTTCTACTCTCTTTTGATTACTTATAATGATCTCTTCTATCTTGTTGAACTCTCTCTAGTTGTTTTTACTACTATTAGCATTTATTGAAAGTTTCTATAAAGTAAAATAAGACCTCATATTTCCTACAGGATGCTCTAAGCTAGTATGCCCCCCCTACATAGCCTCAAAAGCGGCTCGACTTGGGCTATGTATGTAGTAGGGGGAATATAGTTGATTGGGGTCCCGAAACCTGTTGGCGGGATTTGGAGGCAGCAGCGGTCGAAGCAGTGAGTGAATCGCATCCATGACATGGCATACGAAATTTTGAAACCCCGGCGTGGAGTTCATCCAAGTTTTCGGACCAGGGAGTGATGTTGGAGACTCAACCCTTAGCAACAAAGAGTCGGCCCTCTTGGAGCCGTCGCGGATTGGCTGAGGCAAGGTCCTGCCTCGGTCTGAGCTCAGCCAGCTGATTCATGGAAACATCAACAACACCGTGCCCTTAGCCGAACCAACAGACATTCATTAGAGAAATCAGGTGCTGCCATCGCACTAGTTACGTCTTTGCTTGGATGAAGGCTCGACAAGAGCTTATAATTGATTGAAAATTTGTTGGCCCTATCATACTATCTTGTCGTCTCCGGAAATGCCCTATACCTGAAAACATTGATGAAGCTCTGTTTAATTGTGCAGTTTCCTCGCCATCATCCACAACTTTCTTATCCGGGGTCTTGTCATTACCGGCCGTCGTCTTCCCCCGCTGAGATCCCTGAATCTCTTCAGCGAAAACAATCATTGCACCCGCGGTCAACTCTCACCAATTAGAAAGTTCACCCTCTCGCAGATATCCAACCCTTCCAATCTGCATAGATGGCAGAGTCACTTGCCGGGCAAGACATCACCGATCATAATGTTCTCAAGACTTATTTACTACAGGCCTTAGCAAATGCGTCTGAAAATTCAAACCCTTATTTTACTACTGCACTCCACGTTCACAACCTTATGGATCAGCGGGCTCCCCTAACTGCGGTCTCTATCGTCGACGAGGTACGTAGTTCCAAAAGAATTTGCAGTCTCTCAATGTTACGCATGGGCTTTTTTTTAAAAGGCTTGCCATTCCACTCTGCTCCGCACTGACATTTGTTGTACTCTCAGAGTGGGCCTCTTCCGACTTGGGTAGTTGTATTACCCAGTGTTTTCCTCGTCTTATTCCTCACGTAAGCAGAACTCCACACAACTTTGAAGCTTCCTATAGTATTCGTCATGAGAAGTGTAATTCTCATCCGTTGAAACACAACCAGACAAATGATTCTGTCGGTATTCTGCTTAGTCTTGCTCAGTAAGACAGAAAATTTTTGGCTTGTGCGAATTTCAAAAAGTGAGTACGATTCAAATACCCTCTGTTGAAGTTAATCGCGTATCTCGCCGGCTGAAGGATACTCATTTGATATCCGCATTTGATAGTTGGCCTCTTGGTTTTGAATACTAGGACGGTATGTCTCATAATGGCAAGCCTGTTTTCGGCTTGTTTGAGCGCCGACTTGCTGGCTTTTTTCCTGGCTGTCTTTCAAGTCACCGTAAGTTTATCAGAACTTCTTCCACCTGTGGTACCCCTGACCAGCTACATACCTAAAACAACCATCATCCCAACGATTTCTTTGTAGGGTGCCGATAGTCGATTTTTGATCCTTTCGATCGAGTGGCTCCCTTGTTTTCTAGCAGGATGGTTCGTGATTGCTTGTTTGTGGAGAGAACTTGCAGGTGATATTACTACTAACGCTTCCCAGCTGACAGAAATTCGCTGCTCGCCGTTTGTAACCGCAGGGTGTTCCTGTGGGGACTCGGGTCTGGTGTTTTTGAATCAGCGTATGAATTAGGCCTACCCATGGTTGTTCACAAGGCCTCGGCTTGGGGATTCAATTTTATAGCGGTGATGTTGCCTATAATCATGTCGGCCTGTTGAGTCTACATACAATTCTAGATTCCCTTTTCGAGTACTTCATAAATATAAACTCAGGCTCATGGCAAAGTGTTGTGTTTTTTTTTTGCAAACAGCTCAATTATCAACCTTCATCATGGCCCACAACAACATGGTGGAAGCGATGAACGTGGGTAATTCGATTCAAACAAAACTCGAAAAAGACGCATCATCTTTTGACCCCGATAATTTCAACGCAACCGTCGATATCTTACCCAAACTAATCCCTATCGGAAACATAATTCCACATGAGGTGAGCTCTTTCGTCGCCTATCTTGAAGGCCTTCTTACAGGGGTAGAAATATACCACTCGATAACTCTCTTTTTAATGTCAGCTTTTACATTTCCTTGATAGATCAAATTAGCGAACTATCTCCTAACCGGTCAAATGGTGAGCTCGAATCTAATGCCTGATTGAATTTGGAAGATCCTCATCTTTTTTTGTCGCTTTTATTGTGCTCAGATGTGGATCGCTTGGGCAGTCCTGCTATTTGTTGTAAGTAGATTGTTGATTATGTGCCAATGACGCTGTCAAATAATCACACTAACAGGATCAAAGTTGCTAGCTCACCATTCCCTTAGTGACCCTTCACTTGAAAACCTTGAAAGACACTATCAGAAAAATCGCTAGTGAATGCGAAATAGATTTGGACCCGAGCGCTCTCACAATATTTGAACTTCAAGCCACGCAGGACAAACCCTTTTCTGGACCAAACCTTTCGAGTGTTTCTTCAAAACAGCAGAAATCCGCCGATCTCCTACAACGCTTCCGCAAAGAACGGAGGGCGAACAAAATCTCATTGGCCATTTTTTTGTCTTATCTTTCAGTAGGTTCTCACAACTCATAAATTCAAAGTTTTTTTTTCCAGACTTAACATGGAGTAAACCCCAATTAATCTGGTCATCTCCAGGTTTACTTGCTACTGTGTATTGCGAACAAGGCGACCAGTGGTATGAGCCAGGATAACCATGGAGCCAGATTCGCGATAGCTTTCTTGATCGTGGGGAAAGCGAGTGCAGCGATACTTGGATTATTGATCACTATACAGTTCTATCGAAAGATCCGGTCCGGCTCCAAAGAAGCGTTGGCCCAAGGCACTGGTAGCACTTTTGGGGCTGGCATGCAATTCCACAAGGAGGTATACATGATCATTGAAGATACAGCTTTACGCAGGATCGGCGGGAGCAATCAATCAAATTATGTGAAGTACGAAGAATGGTGAAATTATCTGATTTGTCTTATTTTCTTACAGTTTCCTTTTCATTTCAAGTCATTCGGAATTCTATACGATCATACCTGTTTTCAATTTCTACCAGTCTTCATGCTTGTATTTCTTAGTGCCATGTCATCAAACGGTTAGCTAAATGCTTCCTGGTAATTTTAGTAAAAAAAATCTTTCATCAGTTTAAGATCTAAAAAGACTGTTGATGCGGAAAGGGAGATCTTGAAGATCTCTCAGACCCAAGTGTCGGTGATTCCAAGGCTCGGGGTTAATTTTATCAGGACATATGCAGCAGCAACACTAGAATAGTTTATTTAAGTATAAAATTTCTTTCATCAGCTTGTTTGATTGGGTCATTAATAAAAGGCTGCTGCTCAAACAATAACTTAACCACCAATCTCAGATCCGAGAACCCCGAAAAGCATACCATGTCATGGGTGGCGGCTGGCAGAAGATGTAAATTTCCACTCATACCTGATTTCGCATGCACAGCAAGACTTTTCAAAGAATTCTGTCAGCAGATGGTTTTTTCTTTTTTTTTTTGTTTTCAGAAATATATTGTATCAAGGGTGGAAGAGTAGGAAAACTATTAATTACTGAACAAATTTGACCAAGAAGTGATACGACAAACAGCAACTGATACAGAAACCATGACATATGTAGATGTTTTGAACCAAGTTTTGGTTTTCATGTATTATGAGTCAAGCCGAAAGATGGGATAAAAGAGATATAAGGATAGGAAGAAAATGGATGAATTTAAATGTAGCAACAAATTGACAATCGGTATTCAATTCAAGAAGTAGTACAAGGCAAGGTGCAAACTAACACAGGATAAGCGCTGAGAAATGCAGGTCCGGTTGAATTTTCAAACTTGGAGGTCCGATTTCAGCCAAATATCAAAAACCAAAAGAAAAAAGAAATAAAGAAAAGAAAAGAAATAAAGAAACTCCGTGTAAATGTTTACTTGAGGTCGACCAGACTTTGGCAGGGGAGGATGATTTGGGAACTCTCCGAATACTGAATTGGTCGCTGAAAATCTAAGAAAAGGAGTTGACTCCTGACTGGAAATTACTGTGACAAGCGCCTGGATTGTACATTGCCTTGTTGAAAGAAGCAATCGGCAAAATAGGGTTTGAGCTTCTTAGAAAAAATCGGCTGTTAATTTGATTCCGCTGGCCTCAAGTTTCTTGGAGAGCTTCTGCCAATTTTCGATGCACTCCTTGGACCAGTCAGTTAGTGGAATATCTTGATCCTGATCCCTCATTTCTACCATCTTGAGAACCGATTGCTCCCAAGAAGGGTCTGAAAAAAGTGATGATAGTGTAAAACAAGAGTAGTTGATTAGAACCGAGGATACTCTGCAGAGGTAGCATTTTGAATTTTAACTTGCCATCGAAAAATGTTCGAACATGATACTTAGTCAGGTTTGAACGTCGAGCGCTAGGCTCAACCAGTCGGCATATAGACTTGGGTGGCTCGGTGCCAGTTCGCAGATCAAATGATATCCTTTCCAGCTTAGATTGGCAATTCAAATCAATCAATCCAGGATCGCAGATTCCTCCAGAGATATACATGTCTTCTAACGAAAAGAGACCTTTGACGGCCTGGGAGGAGAGGTGAAAGATACAAAAAATCAGCTTTTTACTACAACGTCAAGGAAGCGATTCAGGAAAAATAGGGGGGACCTGGAGGGCAGTCTAACACAAAAGACAAAGCTTGAGACAAACCTCGTTCAAGAAGGGCCTTGTAGAATAAGGCCAACAAAGCTCCAAGTGCCTCAGATCTGTTCCTGACTCCATCAAGGCAGTTTCCAAATCTTCCTCGGTGATTCGGGTGGTACTGCCTTCTTCGGCGTTGTCAGCGATGAGATGTCCGAAATGGATTTTTAGACGTCTCAAGGTTCCTTTGACGTGCGACAACAAGAAGCGGAGAGCATCACCTGTAGGAGGAGAAGCTAGGGTCAGGGGCATGATTTGGGTGCTTGTGGATCAGAGAGAGAGAGAGAGAGAGAGAGAGAATGTGTGTGTGTGTCAATGAAATACCGACCTGGCAAGTCTGGCTGGATGAGCACGAGCTCGACGAGTGATTCTGAAAAAACCCACTCGAGCTCGAGGGATCTCAAGTCACCCAAGTCGCCCAACCTGAGCAACTCAAGATATTCGAGTCGTTCGAAACGCATTGAGGCTTGGACATGGCTTCTGCTTATGCCCTCATCGGCTCCTAAGACGATGTGCTTGACAGGGGAGCCGAGGAGCTCCTCGCATAATGAATCATACAGATCACCCACTGTTATCATCGAGGAAGCTAAATTAGTAGTTGACGAAACCTTAGAGTGATGATGGATGGATAGGAGGGGGATATAACCCAACTGCAATAGTTAACGAGGACGTGAAACTGCTCGAGGTTGACCAATCGTTCCATGGTCGTAAAGACGGCATCGGCGTCGAGTTCGGCGAGATACTCGTTGTCGCCAGTCGAGAAATGGAGTGCCCGGGGTAATTTGGCCAATTCAGGTTTCTGGTTGACGGTCTCGGCCAGGGAGCTGACCGAGCTTGAACTACGTAGCCAGAGTGAACGCCAGAGTCTGTGTGAAGAGGTGATAGACCAATGAAGGATGTATTCAAGCATCAGCCTGAGACTGTTTGTTACGCTACCAGGGGGTGGTCAAGTGGGCCAAATTTGCCCGGGAGGTTCGGGTGAGAGACAGAGAGCGTATATAAGGGCAAGTTGCTGGACCGCTGCGACGGAAAGCGGATGATAAGACCGACGGAAAGATACATAATTTGGAAAAGAAAACAAAAAACAAAAAACAGTCGGGGGTGTGTGTGCTCTGTCCTGATCTGGACTTGCAGTTGTTGCAAAGGCGTGATTAGGGGGAGTAGAGAAGATTGTATCCTGAACTAGACGAGTATCGGAGAGAAAGAAGGCCATGGATACTGACACTATCTGAGCAGGGCCTAACCACGAGCGACAGACGGAACAGACCGACAAGCGATCGGAGGAGTGAGACAAGGGGGGCAGCCAGTTGAAGATCTCGACGAGTAACTCTGAGGGGAGCCGAGAACAGGCGGACATGGTACTCGAGCTGAGCTGCAGTCGTCGATCAAGGCCGAGCGGATAGCAGAGGGCCTTCTTGCTGGAGGAAGGAGTAGCACCCAGCTGATGACTAATCATACTGGCTCACAAGGACTGCTGATGAGACGACTAGTCTACGAAGGAAATCAAGCAAGTAAATAATATGATGATTAGCTGGAGGAGGAGGATGCTGCAGAGTAAATATTTATATGATTATGCTAGATATCGATCTCCTAAACAATCGCAGGCTGGCGAGTGTGGTGCTGCTTTTTGGAGAAGAAGTAGAAGAAGAAGAAGTAGAAGAGAGGGTTTCGAAATGTGCCAGTGGTGATTTTGTCGACTGCAAGATATTTTTATCTGATAGGGTGTACAAATTGATTGTCGGTCGATCTCCAAGCCACTCTTCGCTTTGGTTTTAAACTTTCAACGAGATTTCAGTCAATCGGCCAGACAGAGTCAGACAGGCGATCTGTACACCAGCACAAACAGCATGCGTACAGCTAAATGTCCTCTCATCAAAGCTTGGTATACATAAACCCATACAACTTTAACACCAGAACCCAACATCAAAAACCGAGCTCCGCTTATAACAAACGAAGGGGGCGAGCGGAGGGGAGGAGAGGTGGAGGAAATAAGGGGGGGGGAATGTGACAGAGGGGCCAGCTGCGGCTCTAAAATTAAAGGCTCCATAATTAATTAAAACCATACCTCAAATCTCCATAACCCATAATACAACATACATACAAATGGACGTCAAGTTTAATTGAACCACAATCTTATAAAAAGATTATCATGATGAGCTTAAATTCTTGTCAACTTTAGCAGCACCCGCAGGCAATGGCGGACATCCAGCAGCCCCGGTGTTTGTAGACCGGCGTCCAGCAGAGCCCTGCAACATTTTGTGTACATGTGCCTCATTCTGATTATCGAGTCCAGACCCATCACCCCAGTTCCCCCGCGAAATCATCAGCTTCATCCTAATCCTCGACTTAATTATAATCGGATATGACACTTCATGCGAACCTCCCCGATAAATCGACGATTCTTCTTAAATACTACATCAAAATAAACATGTACCACAATACAATACATTTGCATACGAGATAAACAATCTTGTAATGTATGGATATCCGGCGAACCAACGCGTCGCCGCACGGCTGCCCACAGAGATCGTCGGTTTACGTAAACAGGGGTTTTTTATCCACTTGCAAAATGTCTCTTGACTTTCAAATGATCCAGCGTACATAAATACATGAACACCTGCAAGAGTGGGATCCATGTTTCAGCAAGTTTCATTTTTGTCTAACTTGATATCTACATATAATGTTCCTTCTTGATCAAATATATAAATACAGATCAGTGGCAGATTCTTGTTTCATTAATTGTCTGGTGCTCATTTGAGTTGTACCTTTTTTTCCCTTTTTTTCAACAGTTCTTATATCTTGTTTCTATTTTCACTTGGTAATTACCATTGTCCATCCTACTTCTTCAATTAAGGGTGTTCACACTTTGTTGATTTCAGGATAAGCAGTAGTCAAGCCTTGTCAAAATCAGCCTTTGTTGATTTCCTCGAAAGTAGTCAAGCTTGGTGGGGAGCTCCCCTCTGGAAGCAAGATCATAGGCTTAAACCTTACCACAAATTGGGCACTATGTATAAGCAACAAACCTTGTTGAAATAAGCAGCAATTTCAGCTCAATATAAACTGCCCTACTACAATTGCTAGCTAAGTCATCTAGCCTTCTTGGATATAATCTTGTTAGCATCCAGGGAGATTGATACAATATTAAAAACATAGTCTATAAACATACTCCTTGTGTCTGAAACCACATTCATCACTATTCTTGACCTGGATGCTGCAGCAGAACTATTGTACATAGTCTATGATTTGTACAGTTGTGAACGGCATAACTTAACTAACCCATGATTTTTTGGATCTCTGAATGTGTGAGCCCAAAAAACAAGTTTGTTTTAGACTTTCAGGCTCTTTTTAGCCTTCAAAATGCTACATACATGGGCTAGAGCATTAATAAAAATGTAAGCAGCCATGATGGGAAAGGCTGAGAGGTGGAACACTATGAATTGGCATTGTGTAACCCCATATTTATGGACTTCAGTTTTACTTTTGTTAGGCATGTCCAAATACATGCATGCGGCCCAAAAAAACAGAACTCCAAATCTTTGGGAGGTAGTTTAGGTAGTTTGTATTGCATTGATTGATTACTGTGGCCATACAGGGCCACACACTGGACAAAGCACCATAAAAAATGAGATGCAAAAAAAAATCTTCTGGAATATAGCTGATACAAAAACTTCAAGCTTTTTGGGATCAGCTGTACCAATACTTTGCTAGGTAGCCAACATCAAGAAAACAATTTGTGGGTTTTTGTTTGATCAAAATGGGAAAGGAGATTTTCACATTTTGAGGAATGTATTTGATATGATTTACAATGCTTTTACTAGAAGGTTTGAGGATGGCTTTTTGAAAATAAATTTTTTGACAACTGCCAGAAAATGAAGCACTTCTCTGGGAAGGGGCTTTATAATTTCACAAATGCATCACACAAAGGGAATAATTACATGCTTTAGAATGGTTTTGGGTTGTGGAGAATTGGTGTAAGTTGAGCAGAGTATTCTATCTCAGTGAATCCCATGGACCCTACTCATAATATTGAGTCTATCATCCAAGAGCAAGACCTTCAAGGCAAAATATAATGGTATATGCAGGACATACCAAATAGCAAAAAATGGTAAACATAGAAGAGGTGTCAAGGCCGCAAAATAAACCATACAAGTTACAACACCAAGGCTAGAGCCCAAGTAAAGAGTCAAGAGGAACAACATACAAGATTTAAAATTTTAGTTTTATACCTTTACTTACAGCTTTCCCATGAGTAAGTATCTTAGTTGTTTGAATGTCTCTGAAACTTGGCTACATTTAATCAGTTTAGAATTGTATATGTGTAGCCCAGGATAAGTGAGCTCAAAAAAAAGCCAGACAATTATTGCAGTGTAATCTGATGGATTTTATGTATGCCACTTGAATTGAGTTTCACTCAAAAGAATTAAAACTGGATTAGTGGAGGACTTCCTGTCAGATCTTGAGCCCTTTTTTGACATTGACATATACCTGAAAAGTCTGGTAGATGTATGAAGGTGTTATATTCCATTCCTACTCTAAGCAATCTGACACCCACTCTGTGTAAGTCTTGATCCTGATATAATGATAAGCATATAAAAATAAGACTTATCATCCCAGGATACAAAGCATTACGGTGGAACATGTCTAGATAATGAGCCCAGCAAGCATTAGCGCACTTAGCTTAGTGGTTAATGCATCACTCATGAAGTTTGGGGTCACAGGTTCAATTCCTGTAGTGCACATCTATTTTGGTTTATGACATGGTAGCGAGAGTCTCCAGCTTCACAGCGCACCCTAACAGGTGGAAAAAGATCTCAAAGATGACTTGACCATAAATAGTTGTAAAAGCTATGTTTGCACTCTGCATAGAGCAAGGGGGGGTGTTATATTCCATTCCTACTCTAAGCAATCTGACACCCACTCTGTGTAAGTCTTGATCCTGATATAATGATAAGCATATAAAAATAAGACTTATCATCCCAGGATACAAAGCATTGCGGTGGAACATGTCTAGATAATGAGCCCAGCAAGCATTAGCGCACTTAGCTTAGTGGTTAAAGCATCACTCATGAAGTTTGGGGTCACAGGTTAAATTCCTGTAGTGCACATCTATTTTGGTTTATGACAGAAGGGAAATCTACATTTTGATACTCTATATTGATTCTTGGCAGCCCAGATCTTGAAATAAATTACACCAGTTCAACCAAGGAAAAGGGGAATGCAAAGAACTCAGACAATTATCCTTGCAGTGATGATTTTTTTTTCTTACTAGTATGATTGTTGTCACAAGGGACAGCTTTTGAGCTTGTTGTAGCAAATTCATTCTAAGAACAAAGTCAATTCAAAAACAGCTCCACTCAAAAAGCCTAATGGAGTAAGTCAAAAGATTGACTCCAGATCCCAAGTCTATTCCGTGTGTGGGCCAGAGGGGATGTGCTCCCACAGTACTCTTCTTCAAAATACTGAGGCCGTATCTCTGTTAACCCATCTTGCACGGGAATAAAGCTGCCAGAGAAGTCAGACGCTCTTGGCAGTGGAGCGCACTCTCGAAGCGGAACATATCATCATCTGAGGGTGTGGGGATCGGGATTATATCTAACTTTTACTAAGGGTCAGTATGCATCAAGAAGCTGAGAGGCGAGAAGCCGTAGAAGGCTGACGGTCACAATAGAGATGGTGGAGCCCTTAGATCTTGAGGGGTAACAAATGAATTGTGGCTGGCTGAACCACACCTTTTGATTCCGTCCGTCCTCTCGAAGGTTCGAGTCAGGACGCGAAGCTCCACGGTTTAAGGCTTGCTGTAGATGTAGTCACTGGGGATACAACTAGAGCCCCCCTGCCCCGTTGGAATATATATTACTATTGCTATGTCAGCACTACCCACTTTGGCTGGGACCATCGTGTTTCTCCAGTCCCTTCGACATGTCTAGATACACTCCGTCCTGTGTCCAGCGTCAATTGACAATGGGTATTTTTCGCAGTGGATCAAATATGAATGTGATTCATTGTTTTGTATGAATTTCTCGTGGCCCATGATGAAAACATATAAATTCTTGATGTATCATTCTATCAAGCTAAACTAAGAAAGAACAGCATTCCGATAAAGACACGCCGGGATTATCGGTTTCCTGGAAGACAACTCTTTCCATTTACAAATTCCGGCTACTCCGTACGAACGGAGAAAAGATGACTTGAAAACACTTCGTTGTGATCTAATTCCCTCAAACTTATCGTTTTTGTTATGATGGGGCTTCTCTGACCTCCAATTTCGACTTCAAAATACATATCCAAATTAATATCAGGAGAAAATACAAATAACTCGAAATTGAAAGAAGCATTGAAAGAAGCCTGGTTCGATTGAAAAACAAGAGATAAATAAGTAGGTATTGGAGCTGTTCGGATATACGCATGTGCGAGACGAAACCCCATAAGACCTAAGCCAAGCGGAAAAAAATGTCAGGGGATGCTATTGGTAGTACAAAATAGTTAAAAATTGGAACTGATTTGACATCCAATAAAAATCGAAGAAGGTAGATCATTACCTCATGAGTGGATGATTAAATATTCAACCAGCATAGTTTCTTCATAGATTGATCGTCCTTTCCTTACAGAGAGCTGTGGACGCGTCGGAACTGATCTTGTGTCTCTTGGAGTGCCGTCGAGCGTTGGAGAGAATATTGAAGGTTTGGTCACATCCAGGAACCTCGCAGGTGTAAGCTAAAATCCCAAATAATGCATTTATACCGAGTTCCGTGCATGTGAGCACACAAAGGTAGCAGCAGAAAAGTCAATTCACAGCACAGAGAAGGAAAAGAAGCTGCCCTTGAGTTGTAACTCAGAGTGCAGAAGAATGGACAGTGGAAATGCAACACACGCCGTTCACCAGTGTGTATGCCTGATCGTGTTGGAATTACATTTGAACAAAGTTTCATGAGCAGAGAATCAAAAAACTTGAATCGCCACAAACTACTCACGCTGGTGCTTCAGAGTGTAAGAGGGGAAATGAATTTCAAAAACTTCGTCCCAGGTTGCAGCAAAATTTGAGCAGACTTACTTGCATCAAGGTTGACGGGCGCGCAAAAAGTTTTTGACCTGCGATGGGTTGTAGCAATCACCGGGTGGGGGAAAGTTCAGTTCTTTCCAAATGAGTTGAATTCTGATAAACAAGCGCTTTCCGATGAAAGCTTACAATGCGGGCACCTGTGTTTGTAGACATCAAGAAGATTGTTCGATGTGAGAACCAACGATGTTAGGGCGATTCCGAGGTTAGCTGCCCCTGGTGAGCTTGAGATTTGCGTGCTTTGCGGCCTTGGAGCTCAAGGACTGAATGGAAGATAGGAGAGACAAAAAACGCCAGACTTACGGGTACTCCCGATACTTCCTTCCACAAACCACCCGACTTGTCCCAATTATATTCGCGTGGTCCCTAGCTACAACAATGCTCTCCCCTCTAGCGTGAAACGCGTCCTTGTCTTGGCTCTCTGTGGAACTCGAGATGGAATAACTCTTACTTCCATTTGTAAGAAAACGCTGCGATGGGCGCAGTCCGCCGTCCATATCAGGAGGTTCTGGGATCGTGTCCATCTTCATAGAGCTTTCTAGGGAATTGGAGGGTGAACACCCCAAGTAGCGCGGGAAATGGAGCTCATTGAATTGTCCATGGCAAGCAGCCCCTAGCTGAGAACCAGGAGTGAGATCATTCTTTGCTACTACTTCAATCGGACCGGAGGTGTCTTCGGTCGGCGTTCTCGGTGTGGCCAGGCTAGCAAAATTCTCACTGTCTAAGCGCTCTGAGGTAGCAGTTGTAGCAACCGTCAAACGATTAAGCGAGCCCTGATTCTCCGTGAGACCGGTATTCTGGCCCAAACTTTCCACGATTACATGAAATTCCAAAGTAGAAAAGTCAGCTATTTCTTGGGATGATACCTAAGATTGTGACTGAGGATTAATTGTAGACTTCACTTTTTCAGACGCCCTTCTGAATCTCCGTCATCTGGTTTCACTTTAGTTGAAACTTTTCGAAAACTGGGTCTATATATGGAATTGTTTAAGAAAGTGTGTGACCTAACGCCGATATGAGTTCTACTTTCTACCATCGGGACGGGGGGAAGGTGGCTGTTATGTGCCGACGGCTCAATCTGCTCCTCGATGTAAGCGGTATGATCCGAAGCGCCAAAATTCGCCAAAGTAGCAGATCCGTAGAGAAAGTTTTGGCACGGATGCTGTGAATAGCGCAGATAATGAGTTGCGTGCGTTATGGCCCCATTTCCAGATGTAAAATTCGACGATGGACATGAATTTTGGAAGGGGTCTTCAGAGCTGGCGCTACTGCCGCTGTGGGGAACCCGCTTTGAGTTCAAGAGGAAAGCATTAATTTTGACGCGGAAACATAACAGTAACAACAGCAATCAGGGATCTCGTTGGCAGAATCCCCAATCTAACCAATAACCATTAAAAAGTGCTTACTTCAAAATCTACTTTCAAAGATCCAGACTCTGCAGATAGGTCTGAAAGGTTCAACAAATCTTCGGACCAAGTGAGTAAGTTATTACAACCTGGCGTTTCGGCGCTTTTTGATATTTCAGTCATGATTTGGATATTTTTGAAATCTTGTCTAGGGATGTAGATGGGGTGGAGCATCAAATCGTTTTCTCCTATGCGTTTTTGTAGCTGAGGTCACTATTAAAGCAAGTCGCAGAGGAGATATGTCTTGAGGTAGAAGGAAACGAAGATCGATAGGGCGCGGTAGAAACTAACGTCCAGGTCAGACAAGCCAGGTATGTACTCCTGGAACGATTGAAAGTAATGGCGACATCCTGGGATTGAAAATTGCCTTTGGGTGTGGTGTGTGGAATTAAGAAGATTATACAGAATACAGCCAATGTGCTACTGTTTGGAGGAAGACTTCCACCGTCTTTCTCCAAACCACTGTCGAACCCCAGAGACCACCCGCCGAGAACCAACCCATCCACAAGCACTCCCTAATGATACCTGTGACCTGAGCAATGAACTGGTTAACAACTGACCACCGGAATTCTTCCGAGTGCTCGGACACCTTCGACCACCTATAGAACGACATCAAGTCAGTCTTCTGGCCCTCTCATGAGGACATACCGCCACAACGTTCTTTCTCCTGCGCCTTTTCTTTTTCCAAGAAGGGAAGTAGGCCCAGGGCACCGGGTTACGTAAATGGTGCGGTGAATGTTTTCCATACAGGGTTGCTCATAAGGTTAACAAGACAATTCGCCGAGGCCGAAATCAATGCGATTGTATCACTCTTCCAAACTCATTGAGCTTCCTGCCTGAAGAACGATGAAGATAAGCCCGAAGTTTTAGAATAATTCGGGCGTACAGCTGGAAATACCCAAGTAAAGTTTGATTGACATCCAGCTGTTGATAGGTTCATCACTGCTCAGCGATGGGAAACCAGGTACGCGACACATGCGCATAAAGATAGTTTGTAACTTTCCACATAGCTTTTCATACAAACGAGAAACCCCACCAAACCCCGCCAAGCCCACACAGTCACTCTTGGTTCTTCAACTGCGATAGTGATACATATCAATGCACAAATCCATCACTGTGAGATGCATGAGCATTATACTCTGTCCGAAAATATTGGAGTGTTTATGGTCGTATGTAATCATCACTAACAGCTATCAACCATTCAAGTCAGCTTTTATCTTGGAAGTGTTCCGTAAGAAGCAGACTTCGCCGCTGAGATACGTGCAACATGAGTGACGCAACAGGTATCAGGATTTCTGCTTGTACAATCATTTGCAGATCATTCTCCACATCAAGTTCCCAAAACACTTCAGCAGTATCACTCCAATGTAACCGCTGTGTTAAATCTACATTTGGATGAATGTATAAGTCTATTGTAAAGCTAAGTGCATATGAATACCCTTTGCATGAAGTTTCATCAATTCAGAATGGGACCTTTCCTTGCAGACAAGCTGGTTGGAAATAGGGTGTTTGATGGTTTGTTTGTAGTAGTGCACATTATCCAATCAAACCTGTCACTTTTTTTTCAAAAAAAAATCACATCTCAAGAGGAACAAAGCAAACATGAATGTGTGTTGCCCTGTGCTTCACAGGGTTACCTGGTTCATGGCAGTTAAGATACATATTTGTAGTTTTTCTTGGCTGTGGATTACATATTCAGGTGTAAATTACATAACAGTCTTGATTGGCCATCTCAAAAATCCATATCCATAGAATGCTACTTGTCACTACACCAACAATTACTGTGTAGCATGAAATTGATGTGTTGAAATGTCAAAATACAATGTTCTTCCCAAGCATGTAAACCATTAATCATGTTTTAATATGGCCTCATATTGTGAAACCCTAATACATAAATTCTATCATCATTATTTGGAAAAAGAGCCAGGAAATCAGATAAAAAAGTGAACACCACAACAGCCACTGCCAAATGGGGCCCCTGTGCCACGTGGTAAGGTTGACCAGAGGCAGTCAATAAACAGTTGTGATACCCATATTACTGTACACACCTGCCACAAAACTTTTTTGCTAGCTGTGGGCACAATGTTCATGGGAACTATTTGGACTTTTTTCTGTTTGTACTATTGATATCTAGAGATACTAAGCTGCTACTGCAGCTGTTCAGTCTTTTTTACATTTTTTTTCAATATTCCAAACACACAAGGTTAGTTCAGCCCTATAAGTCCATAAATATGTTTTTATACTCCAAACATACTTTTGTCCTAGAGACCCATGAAACTTGGCAGTTAGATGCACACCTGCCTTTGGTGGCTCATTTGGCAAGCCACATAGAGCACTATTTAGGCCACAAAGCCCCTCATTCTGACCTCTTTGCCGAAAAAAGATTTCCTCCCTCAACATTCCAAACACCCAAAGTTTTTTAACAGTAATATGGGTATAGCCACTGTAAGAGTGGCTTTCCAGACCAATCTTATATCAGCTGGGCCCAACAATGCATTGTCCTTTTTTCAATTTATCAGTGTGACCAACAAATATAAAATTGGGCTGGAAGACCCATCTTATATTGCTTGCCTCTGGTTGACCTTTCTGGAAGGGGTTGTAACCAACACAACCCCTTTTGCGATGAGGAAGAGTATTAAACATAAATTCTGAGTATTTCATGATCAATCCACTGGAAGGGGAGATAAAATGACACATTCAAGGGAGTGAAAATGGTCTGTTGATTATCAAGACTTACAGGTTACTCTTTGGTAATTTAACCATCCAAAATGGAATTTCAAATCTCTTCACAAGTAGATATTATCTTTCTAGTGATCCATGAATATCTTAAAATGTGTTCAGGTAATTGTTGAGCTGGATTCTGGAAAGTGCAGTATTGTGGTTATTTATTTGCTTCTTTACACATTGTTTTTGAGGTAAGAGTGATGAAAATTTGGAACTTCTCAGCAAGGAGTAAAGAGATTGGAGGGGATGAAATAGCTAATAGAGATATGAAATAGTAGAATCAGTATATGAGTGTGGGTGATGCTCCCCTCCTGTCTGGCTTGTGGAGAAGTTGAACTAAGAAAAATGATACTTTGGTGGATTCCTCAATTTAACTTAGTGAGGATACTAACTTCTTTGTCTTTCATAAGGACCTCTGCCAAGGAATGTAATGAGTTGTCAAGGGTTTCTGAGTAATAAGGAATTGGGCTCAGAAAAATGATTCCCAAGGATTTGTCAAAAACTCCCAGATACTGCCCATAGACGTCCCTTGGGAGTGATTCCTGCTAATGGATGGCTGACTCCTCCGGGAGGTCTGTAAAAAGTATTTGGGATTTGTCAACAAATCCTTGGGAGTCATTTTTCTAAGCCCCTAAGACCTTCTGGTTGATGAGGTACAGCTAGCTCATCAACTGGAAGTAATCCCTTACAATCAATGAGTCAGCTGTACCTAATTGACTGGATGGGGTTCCTTCCGGTCAGGTGGGAGCAACTCCCAACCCCCCCATGCATGAGGGGTGGTTTGGGGAGCCAACCCCCCCCCCCCAAAAAAAAAAAAAATTGGCAGACAACTCCCGGAATGGGCCCTGGATTTAGAAGACAATTCCCAATGGATGTCCAACAACGGCTGTTGGGAGTTGTTGGCTAAATGAAAGGAGTTGTTTTTCTAATCCCTTAAATAGTGGTATTCAGAGTTGAGTGTAAATGCCCTGCAAAAGGTCTTGTAAGTAGATCTGCACAAAAAATGATGTATGTTCAGCCCCCAATATTCATGGTAAGGTTAAATGTGGCTAGTAGAAAGCCATTTTGGAAAATAACCATGCATGAGAGTGAGTTGTAAAATTTTTTGGAAGTCACTTGCACTCAACTGTGAAACCCCCTTTGAATTCAAGTGTCTTGGATGAATTTTGGCAAGTTGACCTGCACAAAAAGGTATGCATGCTGAGTTGAAAAAATTCATGGCAAGGTTAGATGTAACCTGTACAAGCTACCTTTATGCATTTTGGCCACTCAATTTGAATATTTTTTGTGCAGTGACTTTACAAAATTCATGCAAGTAACTTGCTTTCAACTTTGAGTCCCACTATTCTAAGATTCCTCCTGTGACAATTGTCTTATATGAATAATCTGGAAGGAAAATTCTTACAAACATAGCCTTTCTTGTATGTATTATAAGTGTATATGTTACATGTATTTTAGAGCTATTTATGTTCTAGAATGATAATAAGTTTTGATGAACAAAATTGTGTGGTCTAATATAATATGTATCCTCTTCAACTTTAGTATGTAGTTATGTTTTATGTTAAAATATGGGTTTATTTTATATTATATGAGTATGATTGATCTTACCATGCAACAGAAAAGAATTCAAAAATGAGGGGAGAAGAATGATGAGTTGAGTAGAGGGGCAAATTTGTTTTTGGTGATTTGATTTGGGTTCCACCTTCAATTTGGCTATCTTTGATATAAAATGTTATTCTTTATGAATTAAATTGACCTGAGGGTTTTTCATGCTGGAAAACAATACCAAAGAATAGCATATTTTATTGAAAACCTTTTATGTACTCTATTCACTGTAAGAAAATTTCAGCTAACTGGCAGTTGATATGCAGGATACTCTGGTATCAACTTTGTTAATACTGCAAGGTATCCAAGAGCACTGCACATTCATTTTGCAATGTGCATTAGAGTTTGACTCATGTTAGTGTGTAGTAAGATTCCAGTTGAAGCATAAATTTCAGAAAAGTCTTTGGATATCAATTGTGAGCAGTGTCTCAAGTTTCTTTGTAGTGATTGAAATGACACTAAAAACAGATTCATTTTTTTGGAAAAAAAAAATCAAACTTGTTTTGGGCCTGTGAATCTTCATTTTTTTCACCATATGTCACAGGAGTAAAACCTGAGCACAGTTTTCCCATACAAATATATGCCAAACCAAGCCAAAAATCACTTTACATTAGTTTGGGGGATTTTTACTTGTCGGCTGATTATTTTCAGTTTAGTTCTGTTTTTATTCTAGGGTTCAAAATAAATATTCCATGATCCATATTTGAAGACTAGTATTTTCCCCCAATTTTTGGGGGTTGACTCAGTGACCGCATTTGCCCCAAATTTTTGGTAGTTATACTTGATGGCCTTGTGGGGGTATTGCTTGATTTGAGCACCTGTCTTGGGTGAATTGGAGTTTGACGGAGGTTGACACCAGTGTTAGATTGCATGAGAATTTGTTTTCTCTATGAGCATATTATGTAAATTATATGTAGATAGTGTTCCCTGAACTGCTGGCCTAGGGCCAAGCTCTAGATCACTATTTGTGGCACATTGAAGGGGAGATACAGATTGGAACTCTTTGTTTGATGAGGGAGGGATGTGTATCTTTGATTGTTTGATTATTACTGATAAAAGCCACATAAACATTGAAGGCGCCATGCATCAATGACTCTTTAAGCCTCCCATTGGGAATGGGAGATGCTTTGTGTGGGGAGGTAGTCACATCAGGATTTGTTTTTATCTTGTAGGTTGATGTTGATTTATGCGGTAAGGCCGTTCCTGCGCTGCGCCCGAGCTTAACTAATCCTCTTGTGACAAGAGTCGTGTGCGGGCAGGTCTGGGCGGCAGCCCAGTCTTGTCAGAGAGGCTTACATATTATTACTCAAAGCTCCTGTGAGGCAGGCCTGTTTTTGTATCATCACCTCTGGCTTCCATGCCATTTTTTTCAAAATTCCATTGTACAGTGGCACAACCCATCCTACTGTACATAGATTTTGGGGTTCTGAAATGTTTGGAGGAAAAAAATCAAGAAAATATGCCCTTGGAAGGGCAGGATCCAAGGAAAATTCAGGTTTTGGGGCTTGGAAATTTTAGAAATTGTGCAATTTTTGCCAATTGTTTGGAAAAATTACATCCCAGAGTTAAATTGCCATGTTTGGCAGCAACAAAAATGTATTCTAGGTTATAATTTATGCACATAGCTTTTGTGGGAGAAGCCATACTTATGTGTTATCAGAACTAAGTACATGAATATGAGAATGTAGGGGCATTCAAGCCCATGGATTCCGAAATGTTGAGCCCAAATAAAAAAAACTTTTTTGTTGGAGCAGTGGGGGCTTAGTCCTTTTATCTATGGAAGCTACTGCCCTCAAAAAGCCCAAATCTACAATAAAAATGGGTGATGGACCCCAAGTGCCTACAAACATTTGGCCAACAGGCCAAATTTTTTTGCTGGTGATGGTGTACAGTAACATGGGTTGCACCACTGTAGCCTTTTTCTTGTTCTCTACCATCTTGTTGATCTTTCTGCATTTTTTTTTATTTGTATTTCCATGCCAATCTTTTTTTTTTTTTTATAAAAAAAAAGAGAAATTCTCATTTTGCAGGCACAAAATATGCTTATACTGAGATTGCACTCGAGCCTCTCTGCCAAATTTGCAAATCAAAGTTCAAAATCATGAACTTCACTGCCTATTTACAAGTAGAATCACACAACTTTTCAAAATAAAGATAAAAATATAAGAAAATCAAGATTATGTAGATCTTTCATCTACCAGAGTCAAGAAAAAAATGGAATTATAATGAATGAGTGGTGGGGCAAGGAAGGTTGCCACCACCAAAACGGTGTTTCTGCCTCACACCTTTAAGTTTCAAGTCCCTCCCTGCGGCGCCTAGCCAGTCACACCAGCGAGCCTCCCACGGGGAGTTGTGTTAAGTTCGCGCTGCGCCGTGGTTGTGCTGCAGTATTTCGATAGCTGTACATGGTGCTCCTGATCTCGCTCGGCAGGCCAACCTTCCCATGATGACCTCTCATCCGAACATTAGCCCGTTCTCCGGCGAAGCATCGATCCTTGCCGAGAGGGCACTCAAGCTCCCTCTATACACGAAGCTCACCCGGAAACGCCTCGTTCTTGCCTCTTCCTCACCCAGGCGTCTCAAGATTCTGCGTGATATCGTACATCTTGAATTTGATCCGTGTGCGCTGCTGACATGAATGTGTGTTGACGTTGATTTGATCGATCTTCTATTTCTTTTTTTTTTTGAATCGCCTCCATGCAGGGTATTAATCCGGAAGTCATTCCCTCGAGATTTGAAGAAAACCTCGATCATTCATCCTTTGAAGATCCTGAATTTCCCGAAGGAAAAGGTCTTCGCTATGCGGCTGCTACCGCGTCTGAGAAGGCCATCGATGTTTACACTCGCCTCGTGGTCTGTGTTAGACAACATGTGGCTGCGCTATCCCGGACTATGATAACTGAATATGTTTCTGCCTCAATTTGATCCCATACACGCAGGTGACATCACCAGATCATCCCCCAGACCTGGTGATCGCGGCAGACACCGTCCTTCAGACCTTCTTTCCCGGTCCAGGCGAGCTTCCTAAGATCCTCGAAAAACCAGACTCTCCGGCAGATCAACTCTCTATGCTCGAGGAGCTGATGAACGCCCCTCCCGAGACTCGAGTCTCAGCTGTCACCGGTGTCGCTATAGTTTATCCCACTCTGGCGAGTCCAGGCTATACAGTTAAGACTCTAGGCGAAACTAGTAGATTGTGGTTTGGTGATGTCGGCAGGGAGAGCCTTGTAGCCTAGTATAGTACTCGTTTCATTTTCATTTAACTGATCTCGGCTGGAAACACTTCGAGTTTTCTGATTGGGATCTATAATGAACGAATCATTAGTGTATCCCAGGGGGAAGGGATTGATCGAGCCGGTGGAATTTCTATTGAAGGCGTCGGTTCACAACTGATTCGAAGAATAGATGGTGATTGGAACAATGTTGTAAGTGAACTATGGATATTCAACACCACCATCCAACTTAAGATGAGTTGATGTACAACTTTTAACTTTACTGATTAGCCCTTCCACATCCCATTCATACGTTTCGCAGGTAGGATTTCCGGCTTTTGCATTTGTTCAATTCCTCAAGAAGGTGATGGCAGAAGACAGTGATTTCTTAGATGATTAAGTTGTTGCTGATTTGTTTAAAATGAGCTCTCATGCCAACTTACAAGAGAACGGGTTGGACTATTTGTTAGCAATTAAGAATTAAGTAACAAACTTGAGCAAGAGAGGTTTGGTACAGATGTCCAATGATGTAGAAAACTCATGCTGGGTTTAATCTGATTGGCAGTGAGAATCTGTGGAGAGCTGGACAATAGGAAACATTCCAAGGAAAGCCCCTGCCTTCTATATACCTTTGCCTTCCTGCAAGTTTGATGTTTTATTTCCCTACAAACAAAATAGAGATGTCACTTGGCACCTGCCGGCAGGTACCTGCCACACTTTCAGAAGGTGCCCTGGGCACTTCCATCCACCAGCTTTGAAGGTGGAGCATACAGAACTGTTTCTTGGACAGTAATACATCCTTCCAATGCACAGCTGGTGGCTGGAGGTGTCCATGTAATTGTTTGAAGTTGTGGCAGGTACCTGTTGGCAGGTGCCAAGTGACATCTCTAAAAACAGAATTTAGTGGCATTTCCCATAAATTAGATGTTTAACATTTAAAGGAACCGGCCTGCAGTGCAACCTCAAATAGCAAAAAAATGGGATTTCCTGATCTGGACAATACCATGGATCAAATGAGAGTCTGCTAAGTTCTAATGAGCTAAACAATGCCTGTTGGGATGGTCACCAAATTAGTCATAACCATCTTATTGTTGAAGACTCCAAAAAGGCCTGTTACAAACTTTTGAATTATTGCTGCCACCTTTGTACATATCCCCCTATAGTTTCTGTGAACTGAGAACTTCAGGCATGGCCCCATGGGCTGGGATGAAATCTCAGGTTCAGCTCAGGTAAAAACTGGGCTGGGTGTTGGAATTTTGGCTTGTACTCAGCTTGCTGTTCTTTTTTCTTGCTCATTCACAATTCTCACTCTTATGTTTCCTATCATGAAGTTACAAATCTATGTTCTCATTGACCTGATATTCACCTCATTATAGTATGTTTTTCTTATTTTTGTTATGATGTCTGCTCACAAGTTCCATGTAGTCATAAGAACCTGGATTGTAGGGATTGTTGTCTCTCAATTAAGCCACTTATTTTCTTGAAGGTGTTTCATTCATGTTTGGTGTTATGCATTCTACCTGTCATGTTCTATTGAATTCTCTTATTTTTCATTCATTATTATTTTATTTATTATCTATTATAACACAGATTGATCCAATTGTATCTGGTCTATTTTAACAAGCCTAGTCCATTGAAAACAAGCCCTCTTATTGGTTCTCCTCATTCCTTTCCCACACTTCAGTCCGGTCCAGTAAGAAAATTTTATTTTCCTTCTTTCCCTCTTAGCATTGACCTGAAGTTTAGATTTCAACACTGGGTTTGGGCCCAAAAGTTTTGTTTGAAAATGCCCTAGCTATTTGACAGGATGGCTAGTTTAAGTTTGTGCCAACAATAAATATGCAGACCACAGAAAAGCACCTGACAAACAGTGTTTCAGTGCTCTTCAGTGGCTTTTTGCCCTTTTTGCCACCAAAAGCACTAGAGATGTCACTTTTGCACCTGTTTCCAGGTACCTGCCACACTTCAGAGCACAACCTCTATAACACCAGTGAACAGCCATGCATGTGGAGCGTCCAGTACTAAGACTTTATCTATACTGCACCCTCTTCTTGCATGACTTGTGGATGCCAGGGTGGGCATGGTCGGAAGTGTGGCAGGTACCTGTTGAGTTTTCATGTTTCATTTCACTCTGTTTTCTGTTTCATGCTACATCACTGTCACACTCATGTCAAATTATATGTAAGTATGCCTTGGGAAGAAGTGAGCCAGTGGAGGATCATTTTCTCATCTTTCATTATCTGTTTTCTACCAGGTAGTCATTCATCACTTGATTTCTTTTCTCTTTTCTCTTTGTCTTTGTCATGATGCTTCATTACTAAAGCAATGAATACTTCCCATCATCTCATGTTCTGGCCCAGTCACTCTCATCAGAACCTGCAAAAAGGTACAAAATTTCCATATCTAAAAAGCACTGAACACAGCATCATAGTGCTGAAAGTGTGCTAACACTGCATGGTCATACTGTTAAGGCCATGCTTTCTATGCTAATTCTGAATGGCCAAGAATAGTGTGGCAGCCCATCACCAACAATTAATCAGCACAACACTAGAAATCTAATTCAACATTTTATCAGCTCACAGCCTGTTGGAGGTCACTTCTGGCACTTTTATGCTCCGCTTTAAAAACCTTTGCTGTAAACCTTTCCTCCTACAGTCAAACCTGTCTAACCGGATTTATTATGTGGTTAGAGGGGTTATGTGGTTCTGAGAATTGCCTGTCTAAGCGCATAGGTATGCGCTTAGAAAACCTGTGAAACAGCATACAATTATGTGGTTTGACAGGTGATTTTGACTCATTATTTTGATAGGAGAATACTTATCTAATATAGTTATGAAGAAAAACAACAGGAAAAGATTAATTCAAGAGATTGAAAAATTGGGTGATACTAGTTTGAACACCATTAAAATGAATTTCATCTAACATTTTTTGATGATATTTTTCTAAAAGATTACTGAGCTCATTTGCTTCTGGATTATCTTCACCATCTAAGTAGGAAAGAGTTTTTGAAATGAAACCAGTCACTTCTTTTTTTTGATGATCTCACAGGTCAGTTGGAACTTCTTGCTCTTCATCTGTATTGGTGTTGTCATCATTGTCTTGTACTTTAACCAAGTCCAAAATCTCTTCAGTTGACCATATTTTTGTGACAACATCATTCTTGCCCTCTGGATAAAGTAGATTATGAACCAACATCCAATTGACTGGTAGAAATAGGCCAATTGACTCTAACGTGTCGAGTTGGGATAATATCATTGATTCAGCTTGATCAATGTCTTTGTTGCTAGGAAGAGATTATGCTTGGTCGCTGAGGCAAGGTGTGGGAATAAAGTATATCCCCATTGCAGGAAATATGAATTGAGGTTGGTTTTGAGTTCAATAGCTCTAAAAAACAATCAAAAGATTAAGTAGGCATAATGTTGGAGTTTGTCTGGTTTGAAGTGGTTGATGGGTGGTCCAATTTTTGGGAAAAACTTTCTCACTGTCAGAAATCTATGCACTTAGGCAGAGAATGTTCCCCAATTTTCCCCAAAAGAGGTATGTGGTATGCCGTTATGCGGTTTTTGACCAAAATTTACAAATTTGGCTCACACCAATTATGGTGGACCAAGACCAGTATGTGGTACAGGAGGTTATGCCGTTAGACAAGTATGTGGTATGGGATGTCTGACTGTAGCAGCACATTTTCCAGATGAGATCTCATTCAACATGTTTTTTTGTTCCACCCTTGTACATTTCTTGGCCCATTTTCTCTTCTTGTCTCCTGCATAGCTTTTCATGACAGAAATTGCTCATATGCTTTTCTAGTCTTCTGCACCACTTTTTGTTGAAATTTTAGGACTCAGGCGCGTAAGAGGTGGAGGGCCAAAAATTGAGGATCTTATTTTTGGGAAAGGTTCACGGAAAAAGAGTGTAAGAACCAATGTTTTTTATTCACTGTAAGTAGGCAAGCTTAAGTAGACTAAGTACAAGTGTTCAAAAAGTGGTTTGAGAGAAAATGAATAAAAAAGAATATTGAATAAAAACTAAGAGAAAGAATATATTGAGTTCTTGGAAGAAACAATCTCAGCAGGACTTCTCAGTCTCTTTTAGTCAGGCAAGAAGAGTTAATCAAGAAAAAACAAGAATTCTATCACAAATATTCAGAGGCGTTAATTCTAAATAATTAGCTTTCAATGAATCAAATAATAAACTAGAAAAAGAAAGAAATCATTCTTCAGAACTAGAGTTGTATGATAAATTGCCACAGGAGTCCTAATTAGACTTCAAGTGTGCATAAGATTCAACAAAAAACTAGGCAAGATTGACAATAATTCAGTCCAGTCAACGCTGGGCCAGCTACGCTAACCGTAGCGGTTAGCGCAGCGTAACGTAGCGGAATTCCACGCAACTTTAGCGTAGCGTAGCGGGATTCCGCCACAACACCGCTAACGCTACGCGTGTGGGCCGCAAAAAAGGGCCCACTACGCTGCGCTACAGCACTTTTTAGCGGTTTTTGGCCGCTTTTTCCGCTAAAAGCGCTGTAGCGCAGCGTAGCGTAGCGAAAAACCGCAACAAAAATGCTAACACTACCGTTTTTGGATGAAAAAAGCGCCGCTACGCTACGCTTTTTGGGCCAAAAGCGTAGCGTAGCATAGCGGCCCACCGCTGGTCCAGTTTAGGATGACTCAAGAAAGAAAAAGGGAGAAAAAGATGAGAAGAAAAGAGGGTGATTTTAGGGAGGAGTAGACCAAAGAAGCTTAAAACTCAACACTTTTCATGACCACATTCCTCCTTCCATTCCAACTTTGTTTTCTCTTTCTCTGCCACTTGTAAAGCTTAAAAGGTCAACCCCAACTCCAATTCAAACTAGATTCTGACCTTTATTTCTACTGTCCATATTGGGTACACCAGGTACAAGATACTTCACCAACCTAAAGGCATCTGTTCTGCTCCACCAGACATTGCTTCAAGTTGCCTATTGCCAGACTTAATCATTTTCTTGTCTGATTTGCACCTCTGTACCATGTCACTGGATCCATTTTCAGAATTTGAGGTGGAAAAGCATTATACATCACCTTTTCTGGAGCCATTGTGTCTCTAAAAAATACTTTTGGCAATGGACAACACTTTGTAGATACAGCATGCTCTTACCTGTATTTGGCTGAGTGAAAAGCTGCTCAGGCATAGAAAGATTCTTTCTTAATTAAGAAGTTGGTCTTCCCAAGCCCAATAAAGAGCTGTGGGAAGATTTAAGGACAAAGATATCAGAAAATGACAACTCTGAATAAAATACCTGTAATAAACAATTTTATTTGACTTGAGAATGTCACCTTTTTTTTCAACTCAATCAGAAAAATGTCTGAATCTGGGTTGAGGTGGTTGGCTTACCTTGATGGCCCAGGGGGCACAGGGAAACACATTTGCTGAATGCAAGCATCACCTATTTTGGCTCTATTGGCACAAAAATAGCAACCTTTGCAACATCAAAACTTATATCTCTCATCTTGAGAAACACAGAAACAGAGCACTCAAAATTCATGATACACTACAAGAAACTTGAAAAAAATGCTTGCAGTTGACATACAAAGACTTAATTGAAGCTTGTCCTTAAACTTAAATGTTACTGGACACTTACATGAGTCACACATCAATGCACAGTGAATGTGTAGAAGAATTCGTTCAGGCATAACTTGCAATTGTAACAAATTTGATACCAGAGTATTCTGCATGTCAATTGCTGCCATTTACCTAAAATTTTCTTGCATTGATATGTGTTAAGATTGTGGGGAATTGAATCTGTAAATGGCAAGCAAATTCAGATGTTATGAAATATTTGAGAACATTACATGTCATAATCAAAAATGGTTCTGTCTTGTTCTGTCTCAAGGCTGACACCTGTGAACAGGTCATTGATAGATTGTTGGCTTAACAATCAGCAGTTTGGTGTTATGGTGATGCTGTTTGCTGTTTGCTGGCAATTTCAGAAAGTCATTGTCAGTCATAAAATTGGATAAGATGTATTCACAGGCAAAGTTGTGCTTGTTAATTCTTGACTTATGTTGTGGTGTCCTGGGTTTTGGTTAGAACACAACATTTTGTTACTAGTAACCAATGCAGATGTAGCCAATGGGCAAGGTCAAAATTATGATCCACAGTTGTTGTCAATTGGATAGGGGGTTGGTCATGTGGCACAGTGACAGCCACAAGTTACCTAGTCCTTGATCAATTCCTCGTGTCATAGCTGGCCCACCATTGGGGTAGGGCTATTTTCAATTTGTTTTTTTAAAGATTGTAATTTGCACAGTCATCTCTTTAATTTTTTAACTACAAATGATTGTAGGAAGACATCTCTTATTTATTGTAATGTGTAGATACAGGTGAAACCTTTGATCTTGAAAATTGAAAATTCAGGACTTGAATGGATTTATATTTGTGCCTAGTTATGGCAACAATGGGCCACTACACCGCACTGTGCTTCCCAAGAAGCATAAGTGCCTATTGTGCAGTGTTAGAAAAATGATAGCAGGTTTTTGCTTAATATGGGCCACTAACAGAGGCAACAGGGCCAAAAAGCCGCTAACCAGTGCATGAACACAGTGTAGCTGCCTCAGTTTGGGGGCCTGCACATGTAGTGTTAGTGCAGATGTGCACTATTTTCTAGTGGAATTACGCTATGATAAGCTGTGCTAACACTACAGTTAATGTAACTGACCCACCATTGGTTATGGTATGGATTTAGCTTAATTTAAATTGGATTGTCTTTTAGAATAACAGAGACAGAGGGGGGTTTGAATCAACTTATCAAGGCAATAGGTTTAAACAAATACACCTCTTGCAATTTCTTAGTAATATATTCATATATGAAAGTGGTTTAGCTTATAAGGTAGATGTTAAGGATGTAACCTCCTCAGCTCACTCTGAGGCTTTTCAGGGACTGAATTTCAATGGAGGAAAGTAAAATGTTTGAATCAAAATTGGTTCACTATGCCAAAAAATCAACTAATGCAAGTGTAGCAACCCCAAGAAAGTCCCCATGAGGGTGTGGTGTTAGCAGCTCTACACTCACACTACACTGCCTTGCACCACGTTGTGGAACTACTCAACCAGGGAGATAGAGCTTGGAGGGGATATAGACAACTACACTAGTACTAATGTAAGTTGAGACTACAGGTGCTGATGAGGCTGCCCTCCTGTACAATGCTAATGGGAAGAGTGTAACACTAAGAAAAAGAAGAAGAGAGGTGTGGCTGATTTCTACTTTATCTTAGACTACTATTACTGATGAACTTGTGTATGTAGTACCTACTGAGGTGAGAGGAGGAGGAGTAGTGAGGTGTGATGGGATAATACTGGCAAGGGGGTAACACTGGCAATGAGGAATGACACTGGCAAAAGGGGATAATCTGGCAAATGAGGATTTATAACTGGCAAGGGGGGATGTATAACTGGCAAATATAACTGGCAATGATATCTGGTAAGGATATAAGGGTGATACTTAGTATTTCTGATTTCTAAGACTATGGTTAGAAGATAATTCAGGCAAGGTACATAGCATACATAGCATCCCGGGGGAAAATACATGAGGAGGAAGAAAGAGTATATATGTGTACAACATGTACATACAACAGCAAAGCACCATGGCTGGGGAAATCTTGGCTATGGGTAATGTAAATCTTAAACAGTAATGAGGGATGAGAAATAATGTAACCTAGAGATAGATGTTCTGTGTATACAAGTGCTAATCATAGATGGAAAGTCAAAGCAGTGTGAAAGGAAATATGTATATGATGTAGTGTAGTTAAGATGATGTACTATGATGAAGGAGTGATGCTACATAGATACTGTAACTAGATAATGTGTAATGTATATGTACTGTATGTATGAAGTAATGTACTGTTCTGTAACTATGAATCTACTGAAGAGGTGATAACTAGAGAACTATAAGAGCTACTGAAAAGATGTAAGAGGTGACTAGGGGTGAAATGATGTGTAGAATCTGAATATGAAATAATACTGGAAAGAATATATGTAAGATGATGTGAAAAATGAGGATACATGGAAAGGTATGGACATACCACATCCTCCCCCAACTTATTGTCTGACCCCAGACAACTGAAGGAAAGAAGAAAAAAAGGAAAAGAAAGGGGAAAGAGTGAAATGGAGAGTAAGAAAGAAAAAGAAAAGAAAGAAAGAAAAATCCATGGAAGTTGTCCAGTGATCCATAGTAAAGGTCCTCAGAGTCCAGTGACCCTGTAAGCCAATCCTGTGTCCAAAAGTCCAGGTCCAAAGAAAATCCAATCCAAAGATAGTATTCCAAAGAAGTCCATTCCTGAAAAGATCCAGTCCAAGTGGTCCAATCCAAAGAAGTCCAATCCAAGTAGTCCAATCCAAAAGAGTCCAAAAGAAGATGAATTCTTGATCCAAAAGACCTGATGATAATTATAAAATAAATCTTGAGTGTACATAACTCAACTATAACTACTACTATTTTAAATTCTGCTGATAAGATTTTCTAACTAAGGGATAATTCTGGCAAATGGTCTAATACAAAGCTGTCTCAGCTTGTAAAACTAACCCTAAAAAATAACTATTACAAAAGCCAACTGGGCCTGTAAAAAGCTAATGATGATGTTCTGGTGTCCTTAGTATAGAAAATAATAAAAGCCTACTGATAAAAGTTTGAGTATGTTATAACTGGAAAGTGTAAACCTGGAAAATGATGATGTAATTATATCTGGTAATTTAAATGCTACTGTGTTTCTGATTATGAAGGCTGATGGATGAGTATGGATGTGTACTAATGTAAATCAGATAAATGTACTGAGAAATAATGTGGAAGGTACTGTTTGGATACTACTCAGGGGATGGACAGTGAAAAATAAATAGCTGGATTATAGTGCTGCAAAAATATGGCTGGAAAGATTTGATGAACTCCAAGCAGTGGGAGGAAAGATGAACCAAGGAAGAAAAGATTTTTATCCAGAAGTCTGATGAAGGAGTGAAGCTGGATCCAAAGAAAAGAAGATGGTATTCCAGAATAGTGATGAGGGAGTGAGGACTGGATCCAGAGAAACAGATGGTATGATGGTTGAAAGGAAATTGATGGATTCATGGAAAATGATGAGGGGATGATACTGGCTGATCATGGTGGTGATGGAAGAATAAGAATTCAGGATGATGGTTGATTCTGGAAAAGTGGTGTGTTGAATAAAAGATGTGTGTACATAGTGGATGGAAAGAATATTGATGGATAAAGGATGTTGAAATGGTTGATGATGTTGAATTGATGGGTGATTGATGTTGAGATGGTTGATGATGTTGGAGGAAAGGAAAATTGATGGAGGAAAGGTGGTGTTTATTGCAAGTGAAGGTTGCTGATTGAAAATTTAAGAGTAATCTACATGGTGGGTGAAAGAATAATTGATGGATTGATGGATGGATGATGTTCAATGGCAAGAATGATTGATGGATGTTGAATTATTGGTGAATGAATGACTGGAAAATTCTTGATGATGATGAAATCAGGAAGGAAAATGATGATTGCTGGTAGTGTAAGAGTAATACCATGATGAGTGGAAAGAATCTTTGATGAATGAATTGATGACTGGTGAATGATTGCTGATGAGATGAGTCAGTGATGAGGAAGGGATTCAGAAAATCTTGATGAGGATGAATGAATGAGTGAGTAAGGAAAATGATAATGGTCCCTGCTTTCCTGGTGGAGTTGAATGAAAATGAAAATGAATGTCTCAAATGGTCCCAGAGTGTGTGCATTGATACATTGCTTGATGAAGTTTAATGATGATTGTTTGAGGGGCAATGGGGGCCTGAGTCCTCAGAATTAATGATTATTATTAAAGAAGATTTCAATTTATTTCCCTAAGCATACTCAAGGAACAGTGTGTTGGAAGCCTGAACCTAGTGGGCCTGAGCTTTCCTTGCTGGTGAGATAAGGTTGCTACTGATAGTCTATCTCTCACATACCGCACAGCAGATCCACAGAGCCTCGCAAACAAGGATGGTGGATTGGTAAATTGAGGAAAAAAACCCTTATCAAAGTCGTCACCGATTTGCGTTTTCTCCCAAGCGCCCTCGTGACGTAGCTGTAAAAGCGAGAGGTCTTCCTGCATCAGTTTTGCTCTTGATTTGGGTCCCTGTTGAAGATTCATTGTGGCTTGAAGGCAAAACAAGACCGGAGCAAGGAAACTGTAATGAAATAACATTGAAGGATGATTAAAAAAGAAGACCGATATCTGAGCCCAGGTGAAGAAGAAGACCATGGGAATCTTGATGAGAGAAAGCCACAAGCGACCCAAAAGTTGATTGAAGATATAGCTGCTGATTCTGGCCACTCGATTCATGGGACCCACATGATTCCTTGATCTTGCTTTATTGATGCTACTGCCCTTACACCTAATCGATATAATTGTGAATCGACTATGCCTTTTCTTTCTTCTCATAGCAGACTTTTTTGAAGAATCCTTCCTTCCCAACTTCGCCAACAAACCAAGCTGCCGTCTTTGCGCAATCCGATCCATTCGTCGTTGTCCAATTGCAAACCAATCTTCTGTCTGATTGAAATTACAAAAAGGTACTCTTACCACCTCCTCGCTCTTGTCATCGCTGGCTAAAACAAACATGGTATCGATCCCAATAGTAGATTTACCGTTGAAGCGATCGTTCCCCACTTCAAAAGCTTCAGAAGAGAACACCTCGCTTCCTTGAAAAATCGCGAACTGATCTTCCTTCTGATTGATGCTATAGTAAGTTACTTTAATTACCTCAATGGTCGTTTCTTCTCTAAATTCAACATATCTAATGCCCAGGTTGTAACTGGTATTCTGCTGGACAGGGCAACCGCCGATGGAAAGGAGACAAGGCAAAAACTGTTGCCCAGGCGCGAGTTGGACTACCTTGCGATTGAAACTGTAGTAGGCTGTTCTAACTGCCTTGATGGCCTCCATCCTGACAATGATAAAAGCTGAACCACCGCTATCGTTCTCAATCGGAAATCGCAGATGGTCGTCGCCGATTGGATGAAAACATGACTTGCAAGGACAAAAAAATTTGAAATCCAGGGCTTTGACCGTGGATTCCTCCCCCAACTTGACTGATGGCCCCATCAGCTTGGAAGAAAAAGGAACCTGAGCAAGGTTGGAAAGTTGGATCTGGCCTGTGGAATTGTTGGTGGCTATGCTGGAAGGTAAAGGTGATTCCCCAAGTTTTTGGCCTCTAATATCCAAGTTGACTGATAAATTGTGAAGTTTGTTCTTGTGATTTTCCTTTCTAGAATTTTCAAGCAGTCTCTCCAGGGTGCCTAACTCTCCAGTTAAAAACCTAGTCCCTTCAATATGATTTGGTTTTAGTCCATGTGGGGAGGCCAAATCAGCTGGGATGAAACTTTCCATGGGGACTCTTTTCAAAAGATTCTGGTGAGCTGGTTCTTGAGAAATGAGTTGGTTCTCCCAAGGAGGGTTAACATAGTGAGTAGTTGTATTGATTTCATCTCTAATTTTTACAATAATGATCTTCTGTTGGTAAGGCCATGTTGGGAGAATTCTTCAAGTCTTCTGGTAATTCAGAATCCAAGGTAAGTATTTCTCCATAACTAAGAAAATTACCCTGATCAATGACTGAGAGCTTGTGATTCATTTCTTTCCCTGATCCAGGGTCTTCTGTGGCCAAACTAGTATGAAGTGAATATTTCCTGGGAAGTTGTTCTGTGGGGAGAAATTGAAGGTGCTGAATTTCAGAGTACTGGGAATTTTCCATGCCTTGAGATGTAGAGGGATGAAGAGTGGTAAAATTGGAGGAAGAGCTGAGGTCTGGTGAAGAAGAGGAGAGAGTAAGGTTGGCCATCTTGAGTAAGTCTGATTTGCCTGTTTCCATGGAATTTTCTTCTTCCTGAGTGGTCCAATTTTCTGTAGCTGAAGTTTCTTTCTTTTTCCAGGCTGACATGTTCCTTTTTGCTAGGTCTTCTTTGTGGATTCTGAGTTCCTCTGGAGAAAGTTCCACCAGCTGGCCAAAGGAGGAGAATAACTGGACTGAATTCCTGGAATATTGGTCCACCACCTGTTTGATTGGCCTGCTAGTGTCCCATGGAATTGTGGTGCTGTCTGGAAGCTTGAATAATTTTCCATCTCTGGTTACTGCCCCAATGGATTCATCATAGAGTACTGAGTTGCACTTTCTGGTACCATGGCATTTGAGAAAGCAATAATAACATTTGAATTCTGATTTTCTAGGAGCTGTTGAAGATGACTGGGAAGGAGCTGGTCCAGAAGGATGAGTTGGGTTGATTTTTACAGAGTAATAAGCTTCAAATTTCCTGGTAAGTTCTTCAAACTTTTGTTCTAATTCATTGGAGCAGGCTGGATTAGATGGCTTGGGAGCTAGAGATGGATTCTTGATGGCAGAAGTTGAGTTGTCCAATTCCTTAGTGGGTTCCATTCTGTGGAGTTTTCTTCTTTCCATAACTGATGTTGACTGAACCTCCCTGTGTATGTAGGCGAAAATAATTTGAGTATCTGGAAGAATATCCCCACCATCCATGGAAGAAAGCATCTTGTTGTCCCTAATGAGTTCCCTAGTGACTGAGGCCTCCAAATCAGAACTGAGAGATTCCAGTATGAGCTCCCTGAATTCCTCCAAGCTGTTAGAGTATCCCATCCTGAAGAGATAGGTGGTAACTGATTCAAATTTGGTCCTGAAATTCTTGAATTCCTCCAGAGTCTTGATTCCTCCAGCTTGGATAGCAGTGTTGACCAATTTCTTCAAATCCTGCCTAGAGTATTTGACCAAAGGAAGAGAGGATCCAAACCTGTTGAGTAGTTGTGCCTTCAAAAGTTCCCAGTCTGAGTCCTCATGGCCAGTCATTTCTTCCACTTCATCCTTGAGGTCCATTCCATGAATAAAAGATATAATCTGTCTGGCCAAATCTTGAGCAGAAGCATCATCAGCTAATCCAGCATTCTCATACCTCTTGATAAATTTTTCCACAGGCATGTTGGTTCCATCAAAGAAAAGTTCCTTATCCATGGGCTTGATTTTTACTGATCTAGTGCTGGTTCCTTTGAACCTGGGTAAAACTGGTTCCTTGTCTAGGAAGTGAGTGTCTGGATTTCTGGTGAATGAATGGGCTGATTGCTGATTGTTGTAAATATTGTTTGATCTGGCAGGAGAATGAGAGATGGTCTGTCCAAGGCTGGAAGTTGAGGGTGGGACATTTTTGCTGGTGGATTCCTGGCCAGGGTAAGTGTTTTTGTTAAATCTAGTATCCTGAGACATGTCTTCTGGTTGATAGAGAAAGTTTTTGACTGATATATTATGGTTATTCAGGTGAAGTAGAATGGCAGAAGATGTAATATAAGGAAAAAGAGTGTAGGAATTGAAGAAACAGTTCTGGGAAGTGGAAAGGTAATAGATATGTAGTCTGATTCAAGTAAAATGATGAAAATGAATTGGGAGCAAGTATGGTAAAGATGAGGATGAAATGATGTTTCTGAGTTGACTAATATTCTGTAGATATCTGGAGAATAATAAATCTGGAATAGAGAGGAAAGGATATGAGGGATAGCAAGGGAGAGGGAGGAAAGTAGGGGGAGAGGTATGTAGGTAGTGATACTAAAAAAGCTGATAGTAATAGTGTTACTAGGACTAAAATCTAAAGGAAGTCAGGCCACTGTTGGGACACCACGTTGTGGAACTACTCAACCAGGGAGATAGAGCTTGGAGGGGATATAGACAACTACACTAGTACTAATGTAAGTTGAGACTACAGGTGCTGATGAGGCTGCCCTCCTGTACAATGCTAATGGGAAGAGTGTAACACTAAGAAAAAGAAGAAGAGAGGTGTGGCTGATTTCTACTTTATCTTAGACTACTATTACTGATGAACTTGTGTATGTAGTACCTACTGAGGTGAGAGGAGGAGGAGTAGTGAGGTGTGATGGGATAATACTGGCAAGGGGGTAACACTGGCAATGAGGAATGACACTGGCAAAAGGGGATAATCTGGCAAATGAGGATTTATAACTGGCAAGGGGGGATGTATAACTGGCAAATATAACTGGCAATGATATCTGGTAAGGATATAAGGGTGATACTTAGTATTTCTGATTTCTAAGACTATGGTTAGAAGATAATTCAGGCAAGGTACATAGCATACATAGCATCCCGGGGGAAAATACATGAGGAGGAAGAAAGAGTATATATGTGTACAACATGTACATACAACAGCAAAGCACCATGGCTGGGGAAATCTTGGCTATGGGTAATGTAAATCTTAAACAGTAATGAGGGATGAGAAATAATGTAACCTAGAGATAGATGTTCTGTGTATACAAGTGCTAATCATAGATGGAAAGTCAAAGCAGTGTGAAAGGAAATATGTATATGATGTAGTGTAGTTAAGATGATGTACTATGATGAAGGAGTGATGCTACATAGATACTGTAACTAGATAATGTGTAATGTATATGTACTGTATGTATGAAGTAATGTACTGTTCTGTAACTATGAATCTACTGAAGAGGTGATAACTAGAGAACTATAAGAGCTACTGAAAAGATGTAAGATGTGACTAGGGGTGAAATGATGTGTAGAA